ATCATTTTGTATTGCTTATTCAATGTGCTAAGTTGAAGCTTGTCCGAGGTACTTACTTAGTAAATTATTAATTTGTAATATTTATATTAATAACATATCTATGATATGAATTTGTTAACATGCGGAAAATTATTAAATTTCGTTTTGAAATCGTCCTTATGTCAATAACACCTACTTGGCCACAAAACTTTATATTGAAGATGACATTGAGGAGATAACAACTTTCAAAAAAAAGGTTATGTGAAATTTCTACATGATTTCTCATTATGTTTTAATGTTTCAATAATATAGAGTTATACTATCTAACATTAATTAACTTAATTAGTTTACAAGCAAAAAAAAAAGCTCTTTGACTTCCTCGGTTTCATGTACCTCGGGATCATCCATCATGTATTCACTACATGATGACTTTCTTCAAAAAAAAACTCTTTTCACCAAATGTCTGTTATTCACGAATTGGACGAGGTATATGAATTATCCTTTTTTTATTTAGTTAATTCAATACTTAAATATTTACTACACCTAAATACACCTAATATCATAAGGAGGTTGTGCGGTAATTCTTGACACAATAAAGATGTTTGAAAATAAACAAAACTGGTATTATAATGCTTGCATACATTGCAAGTCAAAGGTTCAAATAGTTAAGGTTCCAGATGAAACGGTCAATGGCTTGGACCAATTAAAAGAGAAAGAGATTATGGTTTGTACGAATCAAAAGTGCAAGGACAAACTTATTACTGTTGAACCAAGGTGTGTAATAAATATTAACTTAGTATATTACTCTTCAATATTATTATATTTAATTTACATTTTTTTAATTTTTTATGTGTTTTTTTAGTTTTATGATCAAAGTTTGAGTTCAAGGTTTAGTTGGGCTATGTTTGGCGTACTAGCTAAAAAGCTAGCTGTTAAATAAAAAACTAGTTGATAGTTGAAAAGTTAGCTGATAAAAAATAACATTTGGTAAAAGTAGCTAAAAAGCTAGCTGAAATATATAAAATTACATAAAAGGACATGTAAGGGTATGTGTTTCTACAATTAATTAAGGGGTGTATTTGGAAAATTTAAAAAAAAAAAAAAAAAAAAAAAAAAAAAAAAAAAAAAAAACTCCTAAAAAGTTAGTCTAAGTAGCTTTTCAAAAAACTAGTTTATAAGCTAGCTTATAAGCTACTTTTTGGTTTACCAAACACGACAATATAAAAAAGCTCAAAAAATAAGCTAGCTTATCAGCTAGTTGTGGCGCGTCAAACACAGCCTTGGTATTGTTAGTCTTACGATCTTTGATCAAAAAGTCAGAAATATTCTGAAATTATCTGCTGCTGATTTATTATCAAAATATCAAAGGGTATACGTTTCTTATATGCAATACCATCTTGCTAAATACAATTTAATTTTCACACATTGATTTAATTGTTATTATCAATTAATATTTTTTTTTTTTTTTTTTGTAGTTCGGCAATACAAGTGAGTTTCTTATTGAGTTGAATGCCATTATCGATTGATCTACAAAAAAATTGGCTTTCAAGATTGTTGTCATAACATTTAATTTTTCAAGATTGAGAAAATCCTAGAAAAACCATATGTGTTATACCCAATGCTTAATAAAACCCTCTATTATTTTTTTGTATCATTTAACCCTTGTTATTTTCCAAACCGTGTGATGTTTCTAGTTTATCCGGTATCCGGTATCCGGTAACCCCAGATTACCTGTGATAGATGCTATCATACTCCCATTACTCCATTTTGATTAATTTAATATGTAGACTGTAACTGTTCATCGTCATCTTCGTCTAGACCTGCAACTAACCAAAACAAAAGAAAGAAAAATAAACAAGTTATTTCTGCTGCCTTCTTCGTTTCAATCCAACCTAAGACCTTCACCTGCTGCTTCGTCTTCACAGCCAAGACCCAAGACCTGTTCCATCTTTACTGATCGAGCTTGCCATCACCATTAAAACCGTACCCACCTCACCATCGGTTCACCACCATCGAACCCACATATTGCTGCCATCGAAGCCACCATCTCTACCACCTTCTGCCATCTAAAACAAACCACCACCACCTTCATCGAGAATCAAGAAAAGGGGAACAAGAAAAATTCAAACTGTGTTTTTTCTTTGAGGCTGTCGATAAACACACATTTTTAGCGAGGGAAGTAGATACAAAACCTTGAAGGAAAAAACTCAAAAAAATTCAAGATTTTTTTTGTTCGGTTCAGGTTCTCGATGGGACGATGAACAGTGTCCTTATATCTTGATTCTTCTTCTTTCAATCTCGATGGTGGATGCTGGAAATTGAAAACGGAGCAGCAAATGGCTTAACGTCTCCATAATGATGGTTTTTGGAACAAAAATATTGAACACCCAGTACTATTCACCATCTTCTTCTTAAAACCTCATCACAACCACCTTACACCTTATATTACATCAAACCCTTCACCTGTTATCACCCTAGAACACGTAAACCACTTCCATCAAACCACCTTAAAACCTCCTGCATGAAGAAAATGTAACAACCAGTACTATTCATCGTCTTCCTCACCACCTTATACCTCCATTTTACCCACCGTATATCAACCTCGTTTACTGCCTCTAAACAAACGTGAACTAACCACCCTTTACCACCTTTTGTTTCATAGTAAACCACCAGTCAACACTTATATCACCATCACCGTAACCTTCATCGGACCTCCAAACACCCACCATAAACGACACTTTCCTGTTATAGCTACCTCATACACAACCATAGTATACAGTGACTCCAAGGTTACAGGTAGCTTTGGGCTAACCGGTCAAAAAGCATGAAAATAATCGAAGTTAGAAAGCATAATGGTTAATTCATACAAAAAAATTATACAGGTTTTTTTTTTTAAGCATTGGAGTATAATACATGGGGATGGAAGTAGGAGTAGAAGACGAGCCATCCACCGATTAAGGCGTCCATAATGAAGACGAGGAGATAAAGTCAAGATTACTCATACACTGTTGCAATCGCAATGGGGAACACACATGTTACTGTAATCCCAAGACACAAACTAATTAATTGCCAAATGTAATCTTTCAACTTTTTCTTTTAGTGATATTGTACTCGGACTTATTGTTCATTAATCTTCAATCTTTACTTTCTCGGAGTCTACTAGATACTAATTGCTCCATTGTAGTCGCTAATCTTAATACTCACCAGATCCCAAACTGACGATGCTAGCAACTTCGCAGATGATAGAGACAAATCGGAAATACTAAGGTACCCATCAGTCATTATACAATCAATCTATGATTTTGTATATTGTACTCTGTATTTCTTTCTTTCTCACTTTCATACAAAATTACATAGTTAAATACTGGTTGATCATTGATATGCACACAAGGTGTTTGCATAAATGCTCTAGTGACATTGTCTTGTGATTTCTGTTTTTTGTAATTTTGCTTTCTGTGATTTGGTATTGTACATTTGAATACTCTAGACAAAATATGGTTATAAACTTGATGTTAATAGATGATTTTATCTCTATACTCTTGATTTGATTTTGTCTTGTGATACATTATGTTGTTCTGTTGTAGCTTGTAGGTTAACTATTAACTTGGTTTAACCCTTTATTCCTTTTGAAAATATATAATTCACTGTTGATATTTTGTGTTTAACATCATATATTTTTCTGCACAGTATCATGAGGAGAAGTATTATCAGCATCCTTAATTTATTACCTTTCTACATTGGTGCATTATTTGATGACAACATTATGAAAGACTAACCCAAGAGTGTCCTAACTCTCTTTAATGTATCAGATTTTCTCTTTGAAGTCTCATTCGTTGGTAAAAAAAATTTAAATGCATACATCATTTTATAAGTTCTCAAGAAAAAAAAAGATGGTAAATAGCCTTATTCGTGATTTGGTATGACCTCTTTTTTAGTTTAGTGAAATTTGAGCTAAATGCAAGAAATAGCAATGTACTTTCATTGATTTCGTTTATTATAACATCCTACTTATATTGACTTTTTACATTATAGCATTATACTACGAAAAAAATATACCGAATTATTGATTCCTATTACAGCATTCTACTTTTAAAAAAAAATTATAGCAATGTTATCTGATTGCAAAGCAATTTCCATTGCTAGTATGAAAAAAATGAAAATACAATGTTATAATTGGGTAAAAGTTTCCAAAATGTAATGCCTTAGTAAGTAAATCTGAAAGTACTATGCTGTAATAGAGAGAATTGAAGCTCTAATGCTATAATATGCAAATAGATGAAAGTACATAAGTATCACCATTTTGGGTAGGACAAAAAATTACAACTTTTGATTCATTCACATTAGTTCCACCCATTCAAATACTCCAACTACTCAAAATTGACTCAATAATCAGCACATCCACAGAAGACAAAGAAATGCATTGATAATTTCATATACTCAAAGTGTAAACCTTTTAAACTGATATTTATATGACAGATGATTCTTTCTATAAGAAAAAGATTGTACCTTAAATCTATTTTTCTTATTAAGGCATTGTACTTTTAAATCTACCCATTTCTAGCTTTGTACTTACAAATTTTAAAAGACATTTGTACTTTTAAAACGCTACCTAATTATATCACTGAACATTGCTTTGTAATTGGATGATCTTCCTCAACATGATATTTATTTGTATCAGATTTTTGAGGCATTGGTGTAGATAAAGGAGAGTTCTGCTGTTCAAATAAGCAACATTCCTTGTGTAAGTATTCTATTCAGAGAACCAATCGAATCACTATACCAAATGTAAGATTATTTTGTTGGCTATAAATCTAAGATTAAATCATGTGGTCGTTGTACATGGAAGTTCTAGAAAACAGGTATTTTCTGGGAATTTTGTTATGAAAATTCCAAAACACCACTGTAGGGAAAAAGTATTTTTTCTGTTATATTCAATAAAAGATGATTTACTTTAGGTACGAAGAAAAAATCATAATACATGGTTAAAGGAACTCAAGATACTAAGGACAAGAATCAATTACATTGAATGATGTAAGCCAAACAAATAGTTTTGCAAAAGTTGTTTGCCAAATCACCTTGTGTGTTGATTGCTCTTCCCTACAAAAAATGGTTCAAACATTAGGATACATTTTAGGGTTACTTATATATTGGGTTTTTTTTTTTTTTTTTTTGGATTAAACCTCAACCTTTTTTTTTCTGAAAAACACCTTGCATTTTTTTATTTCCTTCAAAAAGATTCTTGGCTTTTTATTTTATTTTTCAAAAAAAAAAACCCTCACATTTGACAAGTTTTTTGAAAAAAAAAAAAAAACTGCTGTTATAAGTTTCTAATACAAGGTCTTTAATCTGGAAAAAACACAATTATGATATTAACACTAGATTCTAACACAAATACAACTTTAATTAAATTGCTAATGATGGAAAAGGGAATAAAATTTTTGTGCGCAATATTTTTCACAAGATCCACATGTGTGGTTATAATAAGTTTAACATCCGATTCTTAAATTCTGAGACTGTAAAATGTATGATAAAAAGAATTGTCACCTTTATGATATGCCAAACCATCGCCAATTCTGAGTTCTAACTCAACATCTGAAAAATTAATTAATTTTGGCTTTTTTTCCAGGCCTTCTGAGCCTCTCAAAATCATCTTTTGAGACCCGTACATAGCAGTATGGACCGGATAAATCGAGTCGCACTTTTCCCCTAGTAATACAAAGACCTTTCCACAATAAGATGCTCTGCGGAAGATGACTTATGCACGTGCCTCTTAAATCTAAATATTTTAACCATTCTAAAGTTCCAAGTTCCTCAGGCAATTTCTTAAGTTGAGGAGAATAACAGAGCCAGAGATACGTTAGACATTTCATCTGACAGATGCTGTCAGGAATATCTTGTAAAAACTTACAATAGCTGAGGTCAAGATAATCTAGATATTCTAATTGGCCAAGATCCTCAGGTAACTTCTTTAGCAACACACAAGAAAGATCAAGAGATTCAAGATCCTTCAACATACAAATGCTATCAGGAATACCTTTAATGTTTGTAGATGACAAATCTAGCTTCTTTAAACATTCTAATCGGCCAAGATCCTCTGGTAGTTTTTCGAGAAACGAACAATAACTAAGTTTGAGAGATTCCAGTTGTTTCAACATACAAATGCTCTCAGGAACATCTTTAATCATTGCAGATGTAACAGTTAGCTTCTTTAAACATTTTAACCGACCAAGATCCTCGGGTAACTTCTCAAGAAGCACACACGATTTAAGTTTGAGAGATTTCAGATTTTTCAACATACAAATACTATCAGGAAGATGTTTAATATGTGTATGTGACAAATCTAATTGCTCTAGATATTCTAGCTGACCAAGGTCCCTAGGGGCCTCGGGAATACCACCGTGGAGTTTAAGTTTTTTTAAGCGTTGTAACCCACAAATGCTTCTTGAAAACGTATCAAGGTTGTGCAAA